GTGGCGCGGGTCCCCCTGCCCCCCGCGCCCCCCTGGGTGGCGAGCGCCGGGGTCCTAACTAAGCCTGTTCTCTCTGCAGCCTGGAGCCTTGGCCAAGCACAGGGGCGCTCGGACGGGCGTTCGAGGCGGATCCGGAGGGGCTCTCCTGGGCACCGCTCGGCCCCTGACGGCTGCTTTGCCGGCGGTGGCTCGCTCAGCCCTCGGCCCCTGCGCATAGTCTCCCACGCCAGGGAGCAGTTTCGGGCGGCGTGGGCTCGGTCCTCTTCTTGGCCGGTGGGAACGGTGCGCCCAGGAGAGGAAGCCCGGTGGGCCCGGCCCCTCCCAGCCCAGCGCCGATGAGTGCCAGGGCGCCCAAGGAGCTGAGGCTGGCGCTGCCGCCCTGTCTCCTCAACCGGACCTTCGCTTCCCCCAACGCCAGCGGCGGCGGCGACGCGAGCGCCCCGGGCCCCGGCCCGGGCGCCGGCACCTGCGTTACGCAGGTGGGACAGCAGCTCTTCCAGTCCTTCTCCTCCACGCTGGTGCTGATTGTCCTGGTCACCCTCATCTTCTGCCTCATCGTGCTGTCCCTCTCCACCTTCCACATCCACAAGCGGAGGATGAAGAAGCGGAAGATGCAGCGGGCTCAGGAGGAGTACGAGCGGGATCACTGCGGCGGCGCCCGCGGCGCCAGGGAGCTGCCCCCGGCCGGCGGCCANGGTACTGTCCTGATCGCCTAGCCCCTCTTCCTCGCCCCTTCCTCGCTCCAGCGTCTTTGCCGCCCCCCCTTTCCCGTTCCCCTGGCCTCTCGGGGGGGCCCCCTCCTTGCTCCCTCCCCTGCCCTCCCTCCCTGGTTCCCCTCCGCCGAGGCACTGTGCGGTGTTTGTAAATATCGGGCAAGGAAAGTCTCGGAAGAAGAACTAACGCTGATAATAACCCTTTATTATTAATATTTATAGTAATTATTATAATCCTAATAACACAATCCAAGCGCATGACAAATTACGTAATTTCTCATTGTCAACGAAGGATGCGTCTTCCCTCTGCGCCCCGCGTCCCCCACACTGAGGAGCAGAAACCGCACCAGCTACCCAAATACGTGAGAGGTGTCGACCCCGGAGCTAGGGGAGTGGAGGGGCCCGGTGTGCTGTACATAGCGGTCAGGCGAAGGCTCAGCCACCTCCCTCCCTCTCCACACCCCCTCCCAAGCTTCCCCTTCCCCTCAGCTCCCCTCCCTTCGCCCCCTCAGCCAGGCTCAGGCAATAGTACATTATAAAGAAAACGTCTGCAGTAAGCACCAGGACTGCCAGAGGCCACAGAGACAGTCCCAGGAAGAACGTTCACGACAGGTACCGCTCTCCAGTCGTTCCTCGTCGCACCCCTTAGTTAATTAACCATGCCATTTTCCCAGGGCGAGGCATTTTAATTTACTTTTGGATATGTCCCTCGCTGGCCGAGCATAAGTACATGAAAACTATTTAAATGAGTTTAAAAGAATCTCCTGCTTTAGCTCTCTGCCCCGCCCCCACCTGCACACCTTTGACTTGTGGCGTTTGCAGGATTCGCACAGGATCCGGGAGCTGTCCAACCAGGTCTGGTTCTGAAATTGCCTCGCGGAACTGGTTACTGTCTTTGGTCCTGCAGGCGAAAGAGGGGCTTTTTGGAAAGCGACTATTCGAGTTTTTTGTTTGTTGGGTTCTTTCTTCTTTTTCTACAATCGGGTTTGCGTGTACTATCGGTTTTCTTAATAGTAAATATTGCATAAGTTACCTTTCTTTTTTTGTAAAAAAAGAAACCAAAAAAAAAAAAACCACCAAAAAAAAGGTATTAGGTGATGTCCAGGACTGAAAGTGCAGTATCTAACCAACCAGAATGTTTCTGTTTAATTCCTAGGACAAGTACACCTTTGTTATATATTTATTATATGGGTACAAAATACAGAAGAAAACTATAATTCTGTTCTACATACTCCACACTGTATATTCTTGTTATTAATTTCCATCTGTTGGTATAATGGTTATCATTGGATGAGGAGCTCAGTGGAGCAGGCCTGGCTTCTGATGTTTCCAGAAGTGTTCTTTTGTATCTTACTCTGAAGTAGACTGTTATGAAAAGATAACACATATGTTTTCTTTTTTCTTTTGCAAATAACAGACATAACCACAACAGAAAACAAATAATGGATGTGCAGGAATGCCATCTATTAAAATATGATTAATATTTAAACAGTGCCTGTAGTCCTCCCTGCATGCAATTACCACCTGGAGGCAGTAGTGTGAATGCTTGCTTGTACTGTATGTGTTTGGGGGTGAGACTGGTGGGGATGTTGGGCAATTTGGATGACAGGACATGCAAATTTCAAGAGAAGCTAAATCCAGCAACTACTTGTAGGATAAAAACATTTGCATCTTGTTTACTTAGAAATCTGTGCTTGCATCTGAGATGTGGCAAAGGAAGTGTTCTCTTTCTCTTTATGAGTCTGGCTTACCTAACTTCAATGAATACATGATGAAAGGTTGGAAAAAAAAAAAGTGAGAGAAGATTATCTATTTTTTCTGTTCTCTCTCCTGATGCCAGACAAGGCCATCTATGCTAGAAATGGAGTCCACCAATGGTTATTTACCACTTTGTTTCCCCTGGATTGATGATAGTCGGAGCCAGAGCATATTTCAATCTTAATTACATGCAGTGACATTCTTTCTTGGAAACCAGTTCTTGACAGCTATTCAAATGTTTGGAAAATGTGTAAGTGAGAATGTTCTATAAGAAGCTCAACCAAAAGAGTCCTTACTAATCTGCAGGGTGTAAGGCAATGGTGCCCCTAAGTGCATTCCTCTCCCAAGTAACTAGTAGCTCTGGATTCTTTGTCCTGGTTCCAAGCATATGTGATTTTTCTCAGAGAAAATATTACCTCCAAGGTTTTAGGTCATCTATTAAATTGCCCAAGCTCAGTCTGCATCTTTTATAAAATAATTTAATAAGCTTAATTTTAATCACCCATTAGATGTTCATTCAAGTCCTTTCCTGAAGCACAGAGGATCATCATTTAAGCATGCCATGTTGTAATATTAGGAAGACCAGGTATATAATCTTTGAGTACAATATGTTAAGCAATGAACCAGGTTCTTTTCAGTGCCTTAGTCACTTCCTAGTAATAGGTAAAAGAGTGCATTAACTCCCTCAGGCCACTAGGGAATCCTTTAGTGAGACAGAGTTATACGTTGTACATCAGAATGACTAAGGCACTGTGAAGAAGAAAGTCCATTAATTTTTGTAGCTCACTCTCATTTGGCTGTAGCTCTCTAATACCTTATTATAGAATGACTTTTGGGCTTGAAATTTGAATAAAATCAGGGACTCAGAAGGGAGCTTCCTCATTTCCAATGAGCTCCACTAAGTGCATGAATATTACTTTCTCCCCTTATTTGGTGCACTCTTTACAGTGAATAATTTCCCATTTTATTAAAAGCAATAAGATGTTCTGTTGTGAGCAATGTTGGATGGTGATTCCATTTCCTTGGTGCTGAAACCACTCATACATTCTTGCCTTATGAATCATAGTGCATTCAAGGCATGCAATAATAATCCCCTTCCTTCCCAGGAGCAGCCTGTATGCTCTAGGGGTAATTATGAAATTGTCCTTTGTAATCCCCCCCCCCCCAAAGGAATAGAGGAAACAGAAGAAATAAAAAGCATTATGAATATTGTTTTAAAAAATATCTTGATACCTCTAAGCATGGGCACACATCCATAGCATCCTCTTACTGTGCACCTTTAAGTGTGTGCCTTTCTCCATTAATTGACTATGGTTTAATATTTTTAATACTGCTCTGTGTAAAGCTGATGAGGTTTGTGAGTTTTCATGCTGAGTTTAATATATTCAGAACCCTAAGCTTCTAGTGGTATCACTCGAGACTCTTTATGAGATAGAGAATTACGTGAAATTCTAGTAATGCCAGTCCCACCAAATTACTGCAATAAGCACATATCCAAGCGGTTTGCATAAACCCTGTTTCAAGTATTGCTTCTTACAGAGCTCAATTGACAGTCTAAGGAGTTTGAGATGCTATCAACAGGGCATTTTGGATTTCATGTATATGAAACAAAAGGCAATCTGGAAATAGCTAAATTTATTTTAAAGATTTTAATCACTGATGTCCCGTCAAACTAATTGCTTCAAATCCCTGTAGCTATAGCTCAGCTTCTGCACTTGCTATTCAGTATTAATAAGGTGGCATGCTTGATTCTCACTGTTTTTAAAAAAGAAAATTGGAGAGAGAATACCATTATGTCAGCTTTCTGAGACACTGAATCTTAAAGATGGAGATGGATATAGTCTTCTTTAGAATTTATATACACCCATAGATATGTATTTATATATACATACATTTTGTACAAATTTACAATGGACTTTTTGTATTCTCTTTTCTGCCATTACAAGAACGAGATGGAAACCAAATAGTTGTTCCATCCTCTTATCCAGAGAGGATACTGAGAAGTCAGGTATATGCATGTACTTATTTCTCTGGGGTCAAATCTGAATGACTTTCTTTTTATTTAATGAAAGGGGAGAGTCCTGGTTGACTCGGGAAATTGGTAATTGGATAAGCTTCCTTTCATAGGTAGTGACTCAAATGTAGCAATGATAATGAAATTATGACCATATCTATGTGGTCTTAATATCTAGATGGAAAGCAAATATATATATATATATCTAGAAGAGGTTTAGGACCACCTAGACCACAAACCTGGATTGTTGCTCGTTTTTTATTTTCAATCTATATGTTGTGTGAAATAAAACATATCTGCATAGCTAAAGGTAAAGTAAAAATATGACCATTATCTGTTTAGTTTGATAAGTAGTTTTTGAAAATAAAGATAAATTAGCTTTAAAAACTTTGGCACCTGACTTTTCCACCATTTTGATCTATATCAATTGAATTAATTATATAATATTTAAAATTCCATTTTTTTGTTGTTGTTGTGCAGACATATGCTTTAAATTCTTTACTGTGGGTGACAGTTGAGCAATTGCTAGCTGATATTACCTGGGAGTTGTAGGTTAAATTAGAACCAGAAACTTTAATCTAACCTGGTCAGACTCCTCAAGTCCACCCCCATATGAATCTGAACTTTGAATCTGAAAAGCCACTTCTCTGGGTCATCCTTTGTTGGAACAAATGATTGTGGCTTAAAGATATTTGGTTCACATGAGAATGAAATGACCTATTTATAGAGGATTATTTAATCATTGGATTGAATAATGATTTATTCTGATTCTGATTTGGTTTTGATTTATTTGATAACATTTGAGAAACAGCTTTGATGGTTTGAGATCAATACTTATTAATGTCACCAACGTAATAATGCAATTGGTGCCATGTAGGGATGCTTAGTGAAGAATAAGAATTTGACTTTAACCGGGGACTATGTCTTATCAAGGTGGTCCTATCTCAGGCAGGGACTTGTGATCTCACTGGGTTGTTTTTATAGATAGGTTAACAACAGTGATGACAAGAACAACAGAAAAACTGATTTTTGAATTCAACTATATCTAAGAAACATAATAAAACAGATATTAGAATTCATGGAAAATTTGTTTTGCTTTTCTATCAATAAAAATTTTCTTGTTAAATGGTCTTTTGGGACACTATTTCCTTATTAATTTAATGTATAATATAGCAGGATTACAAAAGTATTCACTGTATTACCCTCAGATGCTCAAAGAAATTAGTTTTAT